AGGACAAGCCAGTTGGCCCAAGGTGTTGAAAAGCACAGGCCGTCACCAGGCCGCTTTCCACGCGTGCGAGGCAGGCGGCTGGAGAGGCAGGCGGCACCTCCAGGTGCCGCCTGCCTCTCCAGGGCGACTGCGGACCTGCGGGCGTGGGGCAGGAGGGGGGATTTGCAGCCAAGAGCTCCGACAAAAGTCTGGTCGCAGGATAGACTTGAAGCGTGGCGCAAGCTTTCAAAATTTTCACGCGGCTACTGAGTGTTGGGGTTGTTGACTCATATCATATCTGCATGGATGGGTTGGGAAGCGTCCAACAAGCGGGAGGAGAGGGGTTTGGTTTCGCCGACAACAATCCGCACGGCTATATGCTCAGCTGTTACACTGTAATTCAGGCGAAGCGCGGGCGCATGTTTTTCTTGTCTTTGGAGCTCGCCTGTCTGATCCGGCGCCCACTTGCGGCAATTCTCGAATTCTAGTGCGTAAAGAGCAGGCTTTGGCTGTGAGGCGAGACTGCAAATCCGTACCCGCTTCTTCCGCATAAACCCGTACTTCGTGGATGCCACCCTTTTGCGCGAGAAGTTGGAGGGTGCAGTAAGCGCTCTTTTCGTGCCCCCCGCCCGAGTCAGGCGAAAAAGGCTTCAAGCTTGGCTTCCGAGTGTTTTCAAGGACAAGCCAGTGGGCCCAAGGTGTTGAAAAGCACAGGCCACCAGGCCGCTTCCCACGCGCACGAGGCAGGCGCCAGGGCCATTGCGGACCTGAAACCGTGTGGCGGGGGGCTAAGGACACTGAGCGCATACTTTGCAGCCAAGAGAAGCAAACAGCGAACAGGTTGCAAGATAGACTTGAAGCATGGCTTAGATGTTTGTGGAACAAGCTTTCGAAATTCTCACGCGGTTCCTCGGTGTTGGGGTTGTTGACCCATATCATATCTGCATGGATGCGTTGGGAAGCGTCCGACAAACAGGATGAGAGGGGTTTGGCTTCACCCATAAGAATCCGCGCAACTATTTCGTGAGTAGCCATTGAGCTGCTGTCGTGTTTCGTTTGGCGCTCAGCGTTTGCTCAGCTGTTGGAATGTAAGCTGGCAGAGTAATTCACCGACGCTTCACATGCCAATCCATCCTTGTTTTTTGTTGGGGCTTTTGGCTGCAATAGAGCTTGGCAGAGCCTTGCAACTAAGACACTGTGGTTCATGCGAAGCTCGAGCGCATGTCTTGCTTGCTTGTGGAGCGCGCGTGTCTGCTCTGGCGCCCACTCTTGCAGCAGTTCGCGATTTCTAGTGCAGAAAAAGCAGGCTTTGGCTGTGAGGCGAGACTTCAAATCCGTTCCTCCTTCTTCCACATGAACCCCCACTTAGTATATGCTACCCGCGTCGCGGAAGGGCGCGGAAGCCCCGCAGCTTGCAACTCCATATTATGACAATTTGTCATGTTCATTTCGGTCACCGCTCCATTGAATGGCTGTCAGAAGTAAAGAGTTGGCCACTGACACTGCGCTTGCAGACCGCGGTCCAATAGCTTGTGCGGCCACACGTCTCCTGCCTTGGCGCCGAACACTTGAGCGCATGAGCACAGCTGCACACGTTGAGCAAGCAGTGCAGCTTTCGGCTATTGTGAGTAGCCCTGAAGCTGCCGTCGTGTTTCCTTTGGCGCGCAGCATATGCTCAGCTGTTGGAATGTAAGCTGGCAGAAAAGCAACACCGACTTCTAGTGAAGAGAAAGCAGGCTTTGGCTGTGAGACGAGACTTCCGAAAATCCGTACCCCCTTCTTCCACATGAACCCCTACTTGGTGGATGCTGCCTGATTTGTAGTTGTTTCCCGTGCATCCTTTGCGCGAGTATTTGGCAGGGTTCAGTGTGGGCTACCCCGATCCCGCTCAGTCTTAGGGTTCCCCAGAAAGGGCCTGGGAGAAAGCAATGGCAACCTGTTCGCTGCTCCAACATGGCCAGTCCCGTGCCCATGCGCATGCTGGCCAGGATTCAAATTTTCCGTATTCCTCAAGTTGCCTGTGCTATGTTTGGCAAGTCGGCACAAACAACAAGTCGAATGAGTTGAGTGCTTCTGGAAATGTAGACTTCAGCGTCCTGGCAAGCAGCTTTCCTTGTCAAGGCCGCTGGGACATTGCGTCGTTTTTGAGACGCCTGCTGAGGCGCAGGTGCCGGCGGAAGTGTAATCGTCGCACCTCACAACTGCCCACGAGCACACAGCACAAACGCTAGAGCTGCAAGAGCACCCTGGAGGTTTGTGAAGTACATAGCATCCAAAGTAGTTTCAGGTATTGCCTCGCATCACGACTGATGGTATCCCGCATTGATGGTCGGAGCACCCAGAGTTGGAACTCGACCCAGGTCTTGCAAGGCCATGTCTGGGGCTGGGGTTGCGCCAGGGACTTTCTTGATTGCCGGAACGCCGGCGCCCACTTAGCCGCCGACCCACAGTTCAACAGCACACAGGGCACATCATCCGGGCACATCCACATTTCTCGCACTCCTTCAATCTGCGTGGGCACAGGCGACCGTACATTTCCCACACACAGCGAGAAGCATAATGTGGGTGCTCTAGAAAGCGGAGGAGTGGGTGGTGCAAAAGGTTTGGCGCAAGTCGTAGATCGAACAAAAGGCTGTCAGAAGTGAAGAGTTGCAGACCGCGGTCCAATGGCTTGTGCGGCCAGGCGTCTCCTGCCTTAGCGCCGCACACTTGAGCGCATGAGCACAGCTGCGCACGTTGAGCAAGCAGTGCAGCTTTTGGCTATTGTGAGTAGCCCTGAAGCTGCCGTCGTGTTTCCTTTGGCGCGCAGCATATGCTCAGCTGTTGGAATGTAAGCTGGCAGAAAAGCAACACCGACTCCTCGTTTTCTATTGGGCTCTTGGCTGCAAAAGAGCTTGGCAGAGCCTTGCAAACAAGACACTGTGGTTCAGGCGAAGCTCGAGTGCATGTTTCGCTTGCCCCGGCACCCACCCTTGCGGCAGTTCGCGAATTCTAGTGCATAAAAAGCAGGCTTTGGATGCGAGGCGAGACTTTAAATCCTCACCCTTTGCGCGCGTATTTGGTAGGGTCCAGTGTGGCCTGCCCGGATGGCCAGTCCCGTGCCCATGCGCATGCTGGCCAGGATTGAAATTTTCCGTATTCCTCAAGTTGCCTGTGCTATGTTTGGCAAGTCGGCACAAACAACAAGTCGAACGAGTTGAGTGCTTCTGGAAATGTAGACTTCAGCGTCCTGGCAAGCAGCTTTCCTTGTCAAGGCCTCTGGGACATTGCGTCGTTTTTGAGACGCCTGCTGAGGCGCAGGTGCCGGCGGAAGTGCAATCGTCGCACCTCACAACTGCCCACGAGCACACAGCACAAACGCTAGAGCTGCAAGAGCGTGGAGGTTTGTGAAATACATAGCATCCCAAAGTAGTTTCAATTGCCTCGCATCACGACTGATGGTATCTCTTGGAGCTCGGATAGCGCCAGGGACTTGGTTGATTGGAGCATGTTCGAAAGCGAGGCCGTTTCCGTGCTGGCCAACCGGTGCACTCGTCATGGCGGTCGCCATTTTTTGCCCATCTGTGCCCCGTTAGTTGCAGCCTCATGGACGGAGGTGCGGAGTATGGGCTGCCAAAGCTTGTTTTGGGGCTGCGTCCGGGCTTGGGCAGGCCAGTGCAGCTCGAGGATGAGGAGAGCACAATTTGCAGTGACAGGTGCGCTGCTTTGGGAGCGGGGTATCAGGAGTGAGATGGGTCTATGCAACTGTCTCACAGCATTGTTCTTTCAAGCACGCACACACACACACACGAGGTTGTAGTGAGCATTTCTTTAATTTATTTATCCGAATCTTCAATGGGGACACAAGCAGAATTGTGTGCGTTGCCACATTCCTCGGACAGCGTGTGCGACTGGAATCCCTGATCTCAGAAGTTTGTCTTGACCAAGGCAAGGCAAAAGGGGGCGGCCAAGTGAGAAAGAAAAGCGCCGGCCTCATTGCACAGCAGGCGTAGCTTTGCATTTTGATGCACTTTCAACTGCTTTGACTTTTACTTGGCCGCTGCTGGAATTGGCTTGCCGTGTTTGCAATTTGGCGCAATTAGGCACACGTTAACGCTCGAACTGACACGTGCATTTGTTGTCCATGTTTGGAGGCTTGCAATGCATGAATGAAACGCTGAACAAGTCCAGGATGAGAGAAGCAAATTGTCTGATTTGAAGGATGGAGGCAGGGCGCCTGAATAGGGACTTGACAGCTCCCCAGTTTGTGTCTCATGCACTATGCAAAGACGTTAGTTTTGAATCAACTTGCCTGCACATGGGCTGGCTTGTCTCATAGGAACCCGCAAAATGGGGGTGTTCGTTTTTAAATCATCCAAACAAGATACTGCCGGCTTGGGAATGACTGCGGAGACACGCATCGCTTTTGCGCGACAGGGCCCGGGTGCCCAATGTGGCGTTGCTCGTCCAGTGAATAGACAGCAATCAAGTGCTGTGGAGCTGCACAGCACAGCTGAAACACAAGTCCCCATTTGTCAAAACGCTTGGTTTCATATGAGTTATAGTCTAGTTATAGTTGACAAGCATCTTAGTAGAATCAACTGTCAATGTGTTTTGGGCGCTACTCAGATGTGTTCTTGTTCGGTCTCACCTGGATTGACGCGTGCTGCTTGTTCAAAGCTTCGGCCATGTATTGTGCAGCATTGCCTCCCGTCCAAGTGCTCCATATCTTCGTTCTGTTGTTTCGGAAGGGAACTTCTCGCACACATATTCAAATCAAAATGCGAGGTACTGGCTGGCCCTTTGGGGTTTGAGTTTTGCACAGATTTCAGACGGGTTGGGGCTTGTCGCCATGGACGGGCTCAAAGCTGAAATTCCACAGCAAGTACAACCCAAGGCGCTATCTAACACAGATACGGTATGGTCCGAAAGCACGACACAGTGTTATCCTTGTCCTCAACTATAAAGATGAGGGGCACTTACCTTTCTTTGTGTTTCCGCGGGCCTGTGAGAAGTTTTTCATCGTGACATGCAGCTCAGATTCACAGTCACAGTACTTTAGATGCCGGCGCTCTGGCGCTTGGTTCGCCAATGCCATATGCCCCGCCACATGGACGGAGGCGCACTTGTTTTCGATGCCATAGCTCGTGTGGGCGTTGCTTCCAAGTTGTTTGGCAGGCATCGGTTGCCATGGCAGCTTCACCATCCAGGCCGTCTCATGTGTGGCGTTAGTTCCATGTTTGTTTTGGCCCCGATGAGGGACACGCCTACAGATCTGTCGCGTGTTTCGCGGTCCGGTCGCGCTCGGTCAGGTCAGATGATGCCCCAAGAGACGCCAAGGCAGCCGCTGGGTTCGCCCAAAACCCGTCGTTTCGTGGCATCGGGCAGGCAAGTGTGGCTCGAGGGCGCGGAGAGCGCAAGTTCCAACGAGTGCGCTGTGGGAGGGGTGTGAGTGAGATGGCACAGGACTTGCGCCACCATTCGACTTGTTTTGTTTCTTGTTCAGTGCGCTTTTTTTCTTCTTCCAGTTCGGAAGACCTTAGAAGTGAGGCTGCGATGAACATGTTTGCCGATTTGTGGGACTAGCCTTCAATGGGAACCAAGAGGGTGAGCATGGGGCCAGGTTTCCACAGCTTGCGCCGCAGCTTGGGTGTGTGCGCTTCTCAGGTGAAGGACAAGGAAGAGGCCCGATGCTTTGCTGTGGCAAGGGGCAAGGGGTGTGTGTGTGTGTGTGTGATGCACAGATCTCTATGAGCGGCATGTATTTTTTGACAAACTACCACAACATGCAGGGGGACGAGACCAAAGAAGGTGAAGATGATGAGGACTTCTTCCTTCTGCAGACCTGATGAGCGAGCGTGTCCCCTGAATCACTCAGGGCGCTTGTGAAAACAGCATTCTGAATTTGCTCCATGTGTGCAGGGTACAGCCAAATTGAGGGGTGCTAGCTGACCACGTTGGAGTATGACTCTGATTGCAACAGACTAGCAGTCTCCAAGCAGCTTGTATTCCCTTCAAAGCCACTGAGCAAATGTGGTGATCATTTTCCAGATTGTAAGCATCGGAGCAGCATTGTTCAACTGTTCGAGCAGATTCCTTTGATGTTGAGACGTCGCCACCCATATATATATATATATACATGTAAATACATATGAATAGAAGTACTAGTTTTCAAGGGAACCATGTTCGTGTGGTGTAGGACAAATCGGAACAGGGAAAGAAGAAAAAGAAGAAAGGCGTGGCCCTCAATGTTCAGCAGGCCCAGCTGCGTCAAACTTCGGCATGGATTTGGGAGACTTCAGGGAAACGCAAGAAGCGAAAGCGCGTGGCTCTCAGGCTTCAGCTTTCTTACATGCTGGCTGGTGGTCTTTTGTTTACGGGGAACCCCAAATTGGTTGTTAAAAAAAGAAAGGCACCTACACATGTCGCATGGATGATTGCGGCTCCCTTCTTGTGGGGAAACCCAGCGGATGTTTCACTAGGACCCCTGGCCTAAGAATTGCCTCCAAGGTGCTAAGAACACGGCCTTGGAAAAGGGCAAGGACTGTCGCCGAGTGAACGTGTGATCACAGAAAGCCGATCAACGAAACATGCATGTTGCGGGCCGACTAAATCTGTATTGCGGTGCATCGCATCACAGCTTCATTCAATTGATCTGAGTTATGAAGCTGGAGTTGAGGACGAGAACAGCAAGTCTGCTGATTCAAAGAGTGATAGAGGCGTGCATTGATCCAATTCAAGCTCTTTGTGTTTTGCGGCTGGTGACAGATTTCCAGCAGAACTGCAGGTCGTTCCAGCAGCAGCAAAGCTAGCGAGGAGAAGGAGCCCCGCATGCATCTCGGAGTGCCCCGCTTGACCAGCTGACCAAAACAAGCATGTGTCTGCCAGCCAATGAACAAAAGTAGGTGTGCTGTCTGTCGATCTCCAATTGTTGCAAGCGAACAGGTCCCCAGTTGCTGTCTTGGTGTCATAGCGAGACCTTTCATTGGCAGGAGGGCCGGAAGCGGCGAAGGTCCCATCTTGAGCTTTCGAGCTCGATGTCGATGGAGTCTTTTGCGTGCAGAGACCATAGTTCAAAATGAGAACCAGAGTTGAAGCCTCATGAATCCGATGCCCTCTGGGCTGTATGGAAGCCCTCAACTTCAGAGGAAACCACAACCATTCTTGGAGCTGAAGACTCGCCGAGTCTGATGGCCCCAGACACCGAGTCGGTGGTCCGATTCGCCAGGCGGCGGCGGAGGAGGCCCCAGCGTTTGTGTGATACTGGGAAACCGCTGAGAGCGGTACCTCGCTTTTTTCAGCTGAGGGTTCTGGATGCATTGTTTGGAATGCTTTGCCGAACATGCCGCAGGTTTTTCACTGTTGGTGGGTTCTTGGAACGTTTGACCAGCCAGCCCGGTTCTTGAGGAAAGAAGGCGTAAAGTTTACTCTTTTGTCTCCTGCCTCCGATTCATGACCAGGGACGGTTTTTTCACGCACCCAGCAAAAGAAACCTAATTAGCATATTCCTAGGGCGGTGCGCACGCTACCTGTGTTTCTAATGTCCACCCTTGGGGTCCAACCAGTCCAACCTCATACCATAGTCGTGTTAACTTCACGGGAGGCGAATCCCCAAGTTTTATACCTCAATGGGAAGTGTCAAAAAATGGGACTGATTGCGGGTACCAACAGTTGGATTGAATGTCCGGGGCACGTTTCTTGCCTCGGTTTTCCGCCATAGTTCTTGCCTTGCCTGTGAAGCAGGCGCACCAGCAGCTCTCAGAGCCGGAGTAGCAGGCAAGGATGGTAAAGCGAACGAGCGCCCCGAATTGTAGCCATGGCGAGAGCCTGCCAGGTGGTTTCAAAGGCTCCCATCGTGTTTCCAGAAAATTGCGGTCGGAGAAGGCTTTAATGACGGCTGGTTGGTTGCATTTGTTCCTCTTTTCCGGGGGGGGTGGGGGGAGGGTCTTTTTGGAGCTAAGGAAGATCGGGAGCTTCCTTAAACAAGGAAACTGGATCCCATGGGTCGGCTGCCTTCTGCAGAGGATGTTGGCGTGCCCCCCATGGTGTGAAGGAGTCATCATCCTGCCGGTTCAGGTTTTACTGGTACAGGTGGTCTAGAGTAGGTCCCTGGAAAGTGCTGCATCAGTTTTTTCCAGCATGTTTCATCCCGAATGCCTTGCGATGTCTAGCATGGAGTTCCCAATGCTTTCTATTTGTTTCATGGACACTCCATGACAGCTTCCCTGTGTTTCAGTGGCTGTTGCATTGTGAGGGCTGCAGGGAAACAGATTGTTCAAACAGCTTTGCCCATGTGGTGCATGATGTATTGAAACCTGTACTGCTCAAGACTGCGTGTAGAAAAGGAATTCAAAAAGATTCATGAAAGCAATGGCAATGCTTGCACCAGCTTTTTGCAGCTTCACTTTTGAACTTGAATTTCTGAAAGTACGATGCGAAAGCTATCACCAGCACACAACTTTCCTCAGCACTGACGTTTCGCCGCTGCAGATACGAGCCAGTGCAAAGGTAGACATGTGGACATACATAGGGCACCTCCAAGCTGTGTGTTTTTGAGGGGTCCCCTTTTTACCCCAAAAGGCAGCCGCAAAAACCCGAGATTTTCGGGTCCCCCCCCATGTTGACCCGTCAGGTCTAGGATTGGCCGGATGGCGCGAATGCGAGGTGATCCATGGCACAGGTGAGCCAGAGAGCTTACATCATACTGAATGCCAGGGGCACTCGCATAGACGCTCGGCACGGGTTCGTTGGTTTGTTCATGACGGCTTTTGCCTTGAAATGGCAAGCCCAGCTCGAGGTGAGCAAAGCTAAAACAAAGTATGATCAGACAGTGTGGGATATATGTATATAATATATAACTATATGCATATATATATATATGTATATATGCATCGATCTACGACATATTAGTATGTCAGTGAGCGTATATATGAACAGACGTACACCCTGCCTTGCTTTTGGCGGGGCTTGCGCTGAGACCACCACGGCGGTCACACTGGGCGTCCTGGCGCTGCCGAGCACCTTCTTCGGGTCCCTTGACCTGGAATCGGGCTCCGCACCCCGGCAGGGCAGAGGTTTCGGGCGACTCGGGGAGGCGGGGTGGGAGGTTGGGGGTTTGGGTGGGTGGGGGGGTTTGGGGGTTGGGGGTGGGGTGTTGGGGGGGGTGGGAGGTTGGAGGGGTCTACTTCATCCCATCTTGGCCGTGGCTATCGTGGTTTGTGTCCGTTTCCCTCCGGAAACGATTTCAATGGGTGGCGAAGCAGCCAACTCTGAGGAGTCGGAAGAGATCTTCCTGGACCATGACCCGCTGGCGGTGGCCGCGGTACTCAACGCGCCTCAGATTTTCTTTCGTTTGATTGGGTACCCTTTTCGGGCTGGGGTGGGTTTAAAAGGAAACAAAGCGCCAACAGTTCTTTGGGGGCGCAGAATTCTTGACACATACCCCTGCGGTTGGTTAGGGCCGAGGGAGAGCCCACGGAAGCCCGATTGGGGGAGCCATGGTCAGAAGGCCAAATGGTAGGGAGGTTTGGCTCATCCTCGGACAATTTTGCTACAGTGTTGATTACAAAATTAATATATATATATATAGTATTTAAAAATTCATTGGAAAAGGGAGCTATTGTTACAGTGTTATATTAACAACCTTGGAGACAGACCCGACTGCCTTTTCGATTTGTCTATAGGCGCGAGAGGCACATGGCGAGTTCAACATCAATTGTTTTCACCTGGGCACCGCTGAATTCGGCCTAGGATTGGGAGGATTTTCGGATGCTTCCATGCTTTGGATTGATGGTTTGGGGATTTGAAGCCCATCCAAACCGCCAATCTACACCAAGGAGGAGTGACACGATTTGCGGGAAGCATCCCGGTTCCCGGTTGTGTTTCTATTTGCCCACGGCACCCCTTTTGGGATCCCAGGGAATTCTCCGAACCAAGGTCCTCAAAAATCGGCGGATACCCAATATTCTTGCTGATTCCAAAGGATGCTCCCAAATGTGGAGACAAACTCAAATATCCATGGGTCAAAAGTGAACATCCCAATCCCCACTGAAATAGACTAAAATGGGTGGTGCACCTACCCCACCCTTGGTTTTGAGCCATGGCCAAATAGAACCCGAGCTTGTGCTGTCGGGTTTTTGGTAGAGGCGTTCGCCAACATGCGCTTCAGCACGGTGGAGGCCCTCGCGGCGATCCGGCACACGTCGCAGCAGAATCCGCCCCTCGCTGTCTTTAACCACAGGCTTGTGTTCATTGGTTCTGAAAAGGGGGATTCACTTCACTTCACTGCAGTTTTTCTTTGGGGACACTGCAGTTTTTTTTTAGGACCAAGGGAAAGAGGGACATGAGGCTTCTTTATCTGCCACGAGCGGATAAAGTTAGAATTGCCTGGCCAGGGTTCCCTCTCAGGAGCCAGGATGCCCATGACCCATGACCCTCATTTTCATGTGGGGGTTTGACGACTCACATGGGTCATGACCCCTGCACCGAAGACGGGCTGGATGGCTGGATGGCTACGTTTGGGGAAGCCCCCTCAAGAAACAAACCTTTCGGTTTCGATCTTTCGAGGTACGGACTTCGGCCGCTGCTGCACTTCCTGGGGCTGGCCCGCGCCTGAGCATGCGCGCCGATCTGCCCGTTGAGCTTGGGCGAATTCGAAGCTTTCCGGTTCGTGGGCATGTGGGGCCAACACACGTTTCGGAGCAAAACCGACGCCCTCCAATTCATCGCATCCAGGCCTGGATGCAAGGCCAGCACTTTCCCTCCTGCACGTGCCTCAGCCGCTGACGCGACGCCACGACGCGACGGCCGATTCGCATTCACGTTTGGGTATGGCTCAAAATTAAAGAGCTGGGGTTACGCGGGTTTTTTGTCTTTGGTTCCATTTACCACGGTGCCATTTTGGTACCGGTTTTTTGAGCCGATTCGCATTTCCGTTGCCTTGCGCGCCTTAGGCTTTGACGACTCGAGGCTGTGCCAAGTCACATGCAAGGCAGGATTGGTGCTCTCAGCGCTTGCTTGCACCACTCTTTTTTGCCAAAGGCATATGGGTGTGGGTCAAACATAGGCACCCAAAAAGGTCTCCCTGAAATGGAAAGGACTAAAACCCGTGGTCTTATCATGAACCAAGCATCAATTAAGTTGAACCATTGAAACCATTGAAACCATTGAAGATGGAGCCGTGAAAAATTGGAACCATTAAAACCATTGAAACTATACCAACGAGCCATGGAACCCAATGAAAACCAGCCATGGAACGGTTTGAATCTTCTGCCAAGGAAGCCATGGACACCGAACCCCGCTTTCATGTCGCCTCCCGTCTCAGAGCTCGCAGGGCCTGGCGCGGCACGAGTTCGTGGGGCAGCCCCCGGACGTGCTGCAGCACTTGGCGGCCCGGTGGAACCCCCGAAATTCCCGATTGAGTCACAAGCAAAGCCAACCATACATCAATGGCTGTGGGTCAGAAATATGGTAACCCCAAAATGGAACCTGGTGAATGGAAACTTGGACTACCACACCCAAGTAAAGGACAATCCCAACCATAAATAGCAGCGGACGCCTTCTTAATTCTTTAAATGGTTCTGGGTCGACCAGTTTAATACCGGGTTTTGATTATGACTCAATTCGGGTGGCTCGTTTTTTTTGGTGGCTCCAAGAATTTCATGGAAAGAAACTATCCAAAAAGGGCACCTCACAAAATGACACCCATTTGGGGCCATCCGAACCGCGAGCGATTTGGAAGTTGAAGGATTAGGGGGCAACATATGGGTGCGGCGTGATTGCCGTGATTTTGGGTGGTCCCCTTCAACCACTATGAATGCAGCAGCAAACATGATGCCAAAGTGACTTTCGCTGCACCGAAGAGGAATCCGGCACGTCGGTGCCGCAACCGAGCTGTGCGTGTAGCTTCCCTTTTTTGGGAGGGGGTCCTATTTGGCAGGGTTGATGCCCCATTCTGTTTTGTTTGTTTTTTTTGGCTTCGCTTGAAACCAAGGTGAAACGGGTACCCTGACAGAAACGCACACCCAAGCCATTGCGGAGGCCGAAACTTATCAGCGGCCGCTGTCCGCGTCGCCGGAATCTGGAACTCGCAGATGGTATCAGCTGCATCAGAGCCGATCCTGCACTTAAAAGACGTGGGGGCTCCACAAAATCAGGCTTGAAAAAGAGCAGGCTTCCACAGATTTGCCTTGACAAATACCATCCTCTATACGGCCCAGAAGGGTCAACCGGTCAACCGGCCTGCAAGGAGACCTTTTGGAAAGACCATTTAGTGTCAAACAGTTCGGACTGTGACCAGAGCAAACCGCACTGACAACTAGCGGGTCGGTTTTCATGTTTCCCATGTCCAAATGTGGCTTGTGTCAAAATAGGGGTACGCCTAAAGTGGTCGCGCGTTTCTTTCTTCGTGAGTATACTTTCGGTGGCTTCGAAGGAACACCAAGAAAACCACCATTTTCAGTTGTTTTTTGTTTTTTTTCCGCGTCTTTGTTTCTTTGGGGGGTGGGTCCCCTACAAAAAGGGAGACCCCCCCCCCCCCCAACAGGGTACAACCCCTTGGGTGCCTTCCACCGCCAAGTTCGGACGAGGATTGCGCTGGTGGACGAGCAAGTGGAGCTCTTCGGCCTGGGGGACGAAGCCTTCCTGCTGGAACGCGGCGCGCTGGACCCCAGGACCGGGGTGTGTCGCGGCCGTCGTCGCCGTTGGGGGTACCCCTTGCTTTTTCCTGAGTCTTGAGGGAAACCAACAACAGCAACAGCAGCAACAACAACAACAAA